AAATAGGAAACGATGTTTATATGTCATTTTGTACTCGAATAGCCTACATTTTACATTTTGATGTTTGAAAGTCAAGGTTTTTACATAAATTCAGATATCAATGTAATTTAAACAAATAATAATTATAATAATCGATTTATATTGCCATTAGTTTTGCCTATATATAATTTAAGGTCATATAACATATGAATAAAAATCTTTCTTTTTTTTTTTTTTCATTTGTTTCTTATGCTCTTAACAATGTGATTACACGAAGAAGAAGAAAAAACTTTTGGAAAAAAACGTTCTGGGCCTCAGGAAGATATAAAGATACGATAGGCTACAATAACAACAGTGTGTCTTCTGAGTGACGGTCCACCACCAGGCTAAATATAGGCTCTTTAAAACTACACAAAATGTGTAAATGTAATTGAAATAAACAGACAGCCCACTTCCCTATTTTGTGGGTTTTGGAAGATGTGATAACAGTTGAAATTGTTGTCGCAAAGGCAAGAGCAACACACCGCTAATCCAAATGTAGATTTTTTTTCTTTAAATGACACTAGTTTCTAGGCTAGTTATTAACTCTTTAGACTTTAAGGATTAGTGCTTTATTTTTTAAGGTTGTGGGTAAGAATCGTGTAAAAAAAAATCCCTTATTTTGGGGATGGATTCCGGGAAAACTCCCTTATTTTCAGTGTTCAATGTTGACAGCTATGCTGTATTTCCACACGACTGACATCAGGTTCAAGTACACACAAGCCGGCGCAAGCGCGACTCACTCGTGTACTGCAGTTTGGCTGGGTTAATATCTCGGCAGCACTATAACTTGTCAGTTTTTTAATGACATCATCAACCTTATTTCTTCTCAATCTTTTGATGTGTGTAGCTCATTTTTGGGATATTTTAACCTCAATTTTTACAGATGGCACCTTTAAAAGAAAAAAAGAGGAACTCTTAAAACACTGTCTTTTATGAATAAGTCAATATACATGAAACCTCATTGCCTATAATTAGCTATAGCAATAGCAAAGGCCATAAACATAAAGTTAAACATAAGTTCAACCTCAACACAAAAGACAGTACCAACAATGCTTCTATTCCCAGAGAGTGAGGGTACTTTTTTTTCACTTGAAATTAAAGTGCAGGATTTGGAAACATTTGACAGAAGCTCTTATCTAAACATAAAGTGCCACTGTAGCGTTATATTAAAATATCATAACATGAAATCCAAAATGTTCCCACACACTGGACTTACACTTATACGACGCTGGCACATCCTCCAACTCCCTCATCTCTACCACTTGACATTTCTCCGCGTGCCGTGACCTGCAGCGCTCCATACTCCACTTTTACTGGCTTGTTTACTAACTTGAACTGGCGCTGCACAGAGCGATCGGTAATGACATCAAATACCACGAAAGTGATTGAAAAGCATACGGAGCCGTCACTCTCGCACTAGTTTGATGTTATTCACCGGTCGCTCTGTGCAGCGCCGGTCCAAGTCGAACAAGCTTATGTCGCGCGAAAAGAAAACACACGTCACATACGGGCACGAGGTCGAACCGTGAGACACACACTCTCCGAACCGAGACAAGCGAACCGAACGGTTCGGGTGTTTTTTCATGTACCGTGCCACTAGTAATTAGATGAATAAGGGAGTTACCAAATTTAAAGGTGGAATACCTAAGATTTTTGCATTCAAATATCTCAAAATCACAAGGCTATTGTTATATATTTAGTTATGATGATAACTCACAATATTCCAAATGTTTCAAACAATGTTTAAATCGCGAGAAAATTGAGATTTTAACCAAGGAAACAGGGCGTATGATCAGGGGTGAGCTGGGAGTCGCCAGTCAATCGCGTCATATTCGCTTACCTCGGTTTCCGCTCGTACTACGTGTGGTCCTGGACAAATGCGGTAGTTGTAGTTGTGCGTTAGCGTCTATCAAGCAACAAACGTCAGCTTGTTTCGCGCATTTGTTATGGAATGGAGCACAATTATTCTTTTCATTTATTCTCGGAATGTGAACTGTTGGCTGTAAAGGGGGTCACACACCGGACGAGAAGCGTCGCGCCACGTTTAGGACAACTCCACAGTAACGTTATCGAACACCGGACGCGCACTTTCTCATTAGTATATGGCCAACAATATTGTTATGTTTAATGACATGAAATGAAGATAATGTCTGTTCTATGTTATGATTGTACTGTACAATTAAATACAATTGTTGCTGAGTCTGCAGTATGAAAACTTTACCTCAGAGCATCCGTTCACTGAATGAATTGAGAATCTCACCTGAAAAATCTAATAATAACATCAGCAATTGTCATTCAAGCAGCTGATTTCTGTAAATGACTGCAAAACTAAATGCATATTGCAGCATAGGGCGAAGTCAGGATCCATTAGCAACGATTTGAGACCGAAATAATTTTTTTTTATAAAACTATGTAAATGGCGCTCTGTGGCGCAGCAGGATTTTGAACACGGTCCTGAGGCGTTGTTGCTGGGCGCTGCGGACAGACGCCGAATGGCGCTGCCGGTATGTGTAACATTACACTTATAGATAATGATGTTTTCGAATTTTAAAGATGTGACGCGGCGCTGCAGCTTCTCGTCCGGTGTGCGACCCCCTTAACGTTAATTTTGTGAAACTGTAGCTGTGGTTGAATACTTACACGACATGAAAAGATGTGTCAAATGTACATTAAATTGATTTTTTATTTTTATAAAGTTACCAAGGAGGACCAGCCACGTCAACTCCTTGCAAGAGACCTGCCCCTTCAAACCCTCTCCACCATAGCTTCGTCCAGTGACTCGTACAGTAACTAATTTACTTTAAACCTGACTTTTCTTGCGGTTATTTCAGTTTAATGAAAAACAAGCATGTGATTAAACGCAACGTTTATAGAAATCGAACTTTACCTCATCCATGACAACTATTTTTCGATTCCAGTCTGACTGATTCATCCACGGTGGAGTTGAAAACAACAGTTCCCATCATTCCGCGTTCCTCCACGTCATCAAGCAAAGCCGTTGTTGTTGTTTTGAATGTAGCGCCCTCTAGCGGCATCTAAATCTTAGGTATTGCAGCTTTAAATAAAGGAATAACACTTGCAAGTTTCCATGACTCAGGAAATTTCCCTTGATCTAGTGACACGTTAAATTGACTGACCTATTTGTTTTAGCATGAGTGTGTCAATCCCAAACACGTCTTTTGCTCTTGAAGACTATGTAATAACCCTTTCCAGATCAGATATGGATACAAATTTTGGATATAGTATATCAATAGAATCAACAAAATAGTTGTTTAGTGTCTGTGCCACAGCAGATGGATCCTGCATACAGAGGCGTAGCAAGCTTTTGAAAAGTGTGGGGGATGGATGTGTCATTTAAATTTGGGCATGTTACGTAGACCCCTGTCCCTCTAGGGGGGTTCGGGGGCATGCTCCCCCGCAAGAAAATTTGGTACATTTTAAGGTTAAATGCATCAATCTGGAGCACATTGAGAGCTCAAAATTAAGAGCTTCAACTGGATTTGACCCAGACCTGTGCACATTGAACAACGAAAAAGCATTGACTTGTTGCTTACCTACAGAGGGCTCAAACATCTTTATAGTTATGATATAGAGTCTGTCATTATATTCTATATTATGCTATCAAAATTACAATACTTTTGTCCTAATTTCTTCACTTGTAAGAAATAAACCCTTGAGCTTTTATTTAGGAGAAAACACAGAACACCATGCTGATCGTGTGAGCAAAGAGCGCGTTTTTTTTTTTTTCAAATCACGCAGCATTACAAACAGAATGCCTAACGCAAGTCTTGTACTGTTTATCCAAAAATACGAAATATAATAATGAAAACACTGGACATGTCAATAAAACATAAAATCTTCCCAAACACATATCAAGCTTATTTAAAAACCTCGAAAGCATAAACACTCATTCAAAGTACCTGGGGTGTATTCCAGAAAGCAGGTTATGTGACTTACCCAGGTAAGTTTAGGAGTAAGTAAGCGGATAACCTCTGCTTTCGGTTCCAAAAGCGAGAGTAACTTTCGGGTTATGTAAGTAACCATAGCAACTGACTCTCTGAAGATAACCTGCTCCGGAGTAGGTTATGTTGCAGGGTTAGTTTGTTTCAGAGAGGTTTCAGAGCATGGCGTGCCCTTTTGACGAGGATCCTGTGGACGTAGAGGCACAGATTATACGGGGTTTTTTTCGCCGTGAGAGGGTGATAAGACCACGTATCGATGTCTTTTCATATCCTGACGAATATTTGCATGAGCGCTATCGTTTTTCTAGGGAGTCGTTAATTTATTTAACAAACTTACTAAAACCACACATCGCAAACGTGACAAACCGCGGGTCAGCGATTAGCGCCGAACATATTCTTTGTATTGCTCTGCGCTTTTTTGGTACGGGGAGTTTTCTCTACAATGTGGGCGATGCAGAGCATGTGGGAAAGGCAACAGTGTGTAGGGCCGTTCGTACAGTATGCATGGCACTGAAACGGTTTCTACACACTTTTGTACAGTTCCCTGGCCATAAACCTGTGCGCGTTATTAAAGAAGAATTCCACAGGGTGGCAGGTACACTCTCAGAAAGTCTGTCATCTACTTCAATAAAATGACATTTCTTAATAGGTTTATTTTGACTGGACATGCACGTAAAAGGTTACACAGACTTCTTAAACTCGTAATTAATCTTTATTTCAGGGTTCCCAAACGTGATTGGGTGCATTGATGGCACCCACATTCCTATTAAAGCTCCATCTATCAATGAGGGAGACTATGTTAATAGGAAGTCTGTGCATAGCATCAATGTGCAGGTAATAGCTATATTTTTTGTTACTTAATATTGGGGTTACCAATAATAAACTTATTGTTCTCCACAGGTAATATGTGATGCAACCCACCTCATCACTAATGTTGAGGCAAAATGGCCTGGTTCTGTACATGATGCCAGAATATTTAGAGAGTCATCTCTGTGCAACAAATTTGAGCAGGGTACGTTTTGTTAGACAAATGCTTGTAGTCTTTATTACATTTACAAAACACCTCAAACATTACAGGACACTTCTATGGTTACTTGCTGGGGGACAGAGGATACCCTTGCCTCCCCTATATGATGACACCCTACCCTGATCCTGAGCCCGGACCACAGACACGCTTCAACCGGTCTCACAGCCGAACACGGGCCAAGGTGGAGATGACAATAGGCATTCTGAAGGCGAGGTTTCAGTGTCTGCGTGGGCTCAGGGTCACTCCAAATAGGGCATGTGACATCACAGTCGCTTGTGTGGTACTTCACAACATTGCCACAATAAGAGGAGAGAGGCATCCCCCCTGTCCTGATGAAGAGGACCTAGAACAACACCCAATGAATCTAGCAGACCACAGAGATGGCAGAATGCTTAGAGACATGATTTGTCAAAATCACTTTATTTAATTTCTTTTATTTCTCCAGATCCTGAAATAAAGAGACATGACAGATTTGTATTAATTGCTTTATACACACACATGAAAAAAAAAAAAAAAAAAGATTCATGTTCACATATGATTCTCACCTTAAGGCGATGCTCCAGCAATTTGATTTCAAGTTTGGCCTTTTTAATGGCCAGCCTTTTCTCCTCTTGCTGAAGCTGTATAAGGTCCATGTCCATGTCACTTTTTTTAATTTGCCTTAATAGATGGACCTTATACAGCTCCTTTGCAGACAACTAGGAAGGCAAAGTAAATAAGATGGTTAAAAAAGAAAATCAGCCATAGTAACATTATGTGATAAGGACAACCAGGGACAAGTTCTTACACTGCTAAGATTAGATGTAGAGGTAGTTGGACCCTCATCTGCATTTACATCCCCAGCTACATTCTGTCACGGGACAAATTACACATTTTTCAGTCCATCTAAAAAGCTATGCATTGTCCAATATATGCATCATACCTCTGTGGGTCTCCCAGCACTTTCTAATTCAGTCACAGCAGATGTGGTCTCTTCATCATCATCCTAGAGTGGAAATATGCAAGGTTACTTTGTCTGGCAGACATAGTGAAAGATCTAAAAGCAACTGGTTCTTAAAATGCATCACTAACAATTGTGACAGACTGTGTGGTTTCAGGAGGATCCAATAATACAATGCGTCCATCAGCAACTGCAAGAAAAAAAAGACACTCAATGTGTAAATGACTAAAGTATGACAGACACTGAATAAAGGCATTAGGAACATGCAAGAATAAAAAAAGATTACTGTATACATACAGCATATGCTGAAAAAGAGAATATGAAGAGTTCAGATGCAAAAGCCTCTAAATGCCATTTAAAATTTTCTTCTTTAATGATGATTTTTATCAAACTTGTATATTTAAGTTCAGTAATTTCAATTAAATAACAATTAATAGGTAATTATCATTGCAATTTAAGTGAAATCACTGAACTTAAATATACAAGCTTGATAAAAATGATCATTCTAGAAGAAAATTTCAAATGGCACTTAAAGGCTTTTCCATCTGAACTCTTCATATGTATCCATAATGCACAAGTGAAACAATGACTGCATTTGGGAAGCATTTAGCCTTCTTTCTAATGACAAGAGTTAAGGATTGTTTTGTCCAAACATATGATTAAATAATCACAAGTACTATGGTATACCTACATTGTACCAAGTCACTTGAGTTGTTGTGGGAGGAAGCAAATTCTGACGAAGTGCCCTCTGGAATACCATCGACCACAGGGCGACCTTTATTAAGAGAAAGAGCCAACTCCTCCGATGGAGTGAGAGGAGGTGGAGGTGGACCCCCGCCAGTTAGACGGGCCTCAGCCTTCTTTCTATTAGCTATATAGAAAGAATACTGTAAAAGTAACTTTAGACATTGATCTTAAAACAATTAAAATAAAATATTACCTTTTTGAAGAATATTTTTGTGTTTCATTTTGACTTGGCAAAGAGTTCTTTTGGCTCCAGAAGGATTACACCTTATAAAACAAGAGGCCTATATTTCATGACAATATACATTGTACTGTATTCTTAAGAAACTGATGTAAAGAAAAGTACATGCTTGTCAAGTAATGCCACATGCTAAAAAAGACAATTGTTCAACTTTGCAAATGAACAAAAGAAAGGCAAGCATATTAAAAAAGTAAAAAAATAAAAATAAAAACGTACGCATTTACTCTGTCAGTTATTTTTTGCCAAGCCAATTGTCTTTCCTTTGCGTATGCAGCTGTGTTGCTTTTTTTCATGATAATGGGCTTGTACTCCTCATAAGCCAACATTAAAACTTCTAATTCACCTTCAGAGAAGTACGCGGCACGTGACTTTTCACCCTTAGTTTCCATGGTGACTCCTGAATTCGGTGATCCATTGAAAATGCCTTTATATGTTCGCCGGGCGCGCGCATTAACTCGAGGTTATTAGCAGTAGGTTGATAAAACTAACTCGACACAGGTGTTTTGGAACCGACATACCCAGAGTAAGCAGGTTTTGGGTTAATCAACCCAGAGTTTAGGGTTAATCTGATGGTTAATTAACCCAGCTTTCTGGAATACACCCCTGGTCCATACCAGACACACTGCCAGTCTCCGTTCAGAATCGATTGGTTCACGTTAATTGGTGGTCTTGATTTTAATATGTGGCTCCAGAATCGCTAGCAAAGCATCAAACTGTCCCACTGACATTCTGAGGTAAATTTTGAATCGCTCAGGATAAATTCGCAACTCCTTGATAAGGAACTCCTTCCTCTCGGCGCAATTTCAGGATTGGATGGACGTAATATTTTCTCTTTCTTCTCTTTTCAATATGAGAGGGGGCAAAAATCATCCTCACTGCTTGACGAATCCATTTGGTATTTTTGCGTTTTTTCCCGCAAAGGTTTAATAAATACGCAACGGACTCGGTGTGCAAGGTTTTTAGGCTGACGTACACGAAAATATGCATACGAAAATTTCGTACTCAGTGTGCAATGGCCTTAAATATCGGGATAGCGTTTTCAACCGTGGAAAGAGCTAATGCAGCAGAAAGATTTCAGAAGAGACGCTGAAGTTGCCTGCTTTCTCCTCGACAGGTTAGTCAATGTTACAGTCTTACTTAATTTTTTTGTCATTGCTTGGTTGTGTACTTTATTATATAGACAGTATAACATTTATAGGTAAAAAAGTTAAACAAGGTCTTTGATGAATAGCAGCTATTGACTACTTTACTCGCAGCTATTGTGAAGGAAGGTGTTAAAAGGAAGGTTTGTAAGTTAATTCTTTATAACCTATAAATTCAGTAAGAATATAGAGATAATGATTGTAAGAAAATATTGAAGAAAATATTGCTCTCTGTAAGATTTTCTATAGCTTTCTTTTTTTAAATAAATGATCAATTAGCTAAAATTGTGATTTTGCTATGTGGATAAGATTGTACAGGGAATTAAAATTAATTTATACAGCTAGACACATACATTGTACACATAAGTTAACACATAAGTTGCTGTTTTTTTTAAGTTACAAACCTGTTCACCCGGAGAAAAACTCGATGAAGTGTTACTTCAAGACATCCTGTCATAGCATTTTTGGTACATAACGGCAACCGTAGATGCAATACGCACTTGAAAAAGCGAGGCGCTGGAGAGCAAAATTTGTTTGAATGCAAAATACTATTTAACCACTAGATGGGGGTAATTCCTACACAGAGTCCCTTTAAGTTGCCATTGTCTGCGTAAGCAGTTTGAGGTTTGCGAGCGCCAAATGGACGACAGAAGCTGCTTATTTGGATGGTGAGTGGGACCCTATCCGAAATCGCATATTAAGTGGCCGGTATTAGCATAAATTACCATAGGCTCTGTGTGGACGCCTCTAGGGGTGCCGGTGCGCTACGGGGGGGTCCACCAAGTGCATATGGGGTCCCCTGACCGCCTATGCTTCACCATAGTCTTCCTCTGTCCCACGGAGTGCCTATTTTGACCCCTGACCGCCTATTTTCTTCTTCACTGCCACGAAGTGCCTATGGGGTTCCCTGACCGCCTAAACTTCACCATAGTCTTCCTCGTTGTCCACGAAGTGCCTATTTTGACTCCTAACCGCCTATCCTCTTCTTCATTGCCACGAAGTGCCTATGGGGTCCCCTGACCACCTAAACTTCACCAAAGTCTTCCTCAAGTGCCACGAAGTGCCTATTTTGACCCCTAACCGCCTATCCTCTTCTTCGGTGCCACGAAGTGCCTATGGGGTCCCCTGACCGCCTAAACTTCACCATAGTCTTCCTCAAGTGCCACGAAGTGCCTATTTTGACCCCTAACCGCCCATCCTCTTCTTCAGTGCCACGAAGTGCCTATGGGGTCCCCTGAACACCTACACTTCACCATAGTCTTCCTCAAGTGCCACGAAGTGCCTATTTTGACCCCTAACCACCTATCCTCTTCCTCATCTCTACAAAATGCCCAAACTTCACCACGGTCTTCCTCATGGCCGCAGAGTGCATATTCTGACCCCCTAACCACCTGTTTTTTGGGTCTTTCGGGTGGACGATGTGACAGAAGGGTCCGGTTGGCCCCAAGCTGACGTGTGCGGCCCGTCACGGGCCCCTGGGACGGGTTCTAGAGTTCCGCGGCCCTCTGACCTTTTTTCGCGCTGATTGGCCACCAACTGCCTCATGCAATAAGTTGCACGTGGGACGTCAAAGAAACAGGGACCAAAAGGGGTCCAAAGGTCGCAGCAGCCCCAAATTCGGCACAGAGGTAGTCCGGGGGCCCCCGGTTCTAGATAGCGAGTTTGGTGGTTCTAGATCGGTTCTAAGCGTGTTTCAGCAACACGGTTTGAAGGTAACGCCCGATTGGCCTCAAACTAACACGCCCGCCTCGTCACGGGCCCCGGGGACGGGTTCTAGAGTTCTGCGGCCCTCTGACCTTTTTTCGCGCTAATTGGCCACCAACTGCCCCATGCAATAAGTTGCACGTGGGACATCAAACAAACAGGGGCCGAGAGAGGTCCGAAGGTCGCAGCGGCCCCAAATTCGGCACGGAGGTAGCCCGGGGGCCCCGGTTCTAGATCGCGAGTTTGGTGGTTCTAGATCGGTTCTAAGCGTGTGTTTCAGCGACACGGTTTGAAGGAAACGCCCGATCGGGCCCAAACTGACGCGCACGTCTCGTCGCGGGCTCCAGGGACGGGTTCTAGAGTTCCGTGTCCGAAACGTCTCGTTTTCCCGAAAAGAACACCCCCTTGACCTGGAAGCGCATACGAAGTTTGAACCGAATAAGTTGCACGTGGGAGGGCCGAAACGCAGGGGTCGAAAGGTCGCACCGCCTCCAAACCCGCCACCCTGGTAGTCGAGGGGCCCCGGGTTCTAGATCCCGGACCGCAGGGTTCTAGATCGGTCCCGAGCGCGTGTTTTTTCGGTGCAAAATTCTCCTCCCTTTGACTCACTCTGACTATATGCCTTTCTGTGTGTGAGGAGGGCGGCCATTGATCGGACCATGTGCTCGTTGAGGGGGGGAAAGAAAGGTCCGATCAGCCCCGAAATTGAAGTATGCGTACCGTCACGGGCCCCTGGGACGGGTTCTGGAGTTCCGCGACCCTACAACTTTTTTTCACGCTAATTGGCCACCAACAGCCCCATGCAATAAGTTGCACATGGGACGTCAAACAAACAGTCGCCCAAAGGGGTCAAAAGGTCGCAGAACCTCGAAATTCGGCACAGACGACCGCCACGGGTCCCCGGATAGGGCCCCAGAGTTTCGTGGCTCTGGATGCTTCCTGAGCCCAGTAGGCCCTCTAATACTGACTGCTGAATTGACCCTGGCAGAAACATGCTCCCATAGAAGTCAATGGGACACAGAGAGGTGCATAAAAAATAGCCAAAAATAAACTCGGCGTGTCTCGACCTAGCCCGCTCGGCATGTCCTTTTAAAGCCTTTTAAAGCACTGTCCACAGACAGTATACAGGGACCCTGTCTAATAAGTTACAGGTGGGATGCTGTTTCTGACTTTGACACTTTCAGCCGGTGAATCCTGGTCAGGATTTGGGCATTTCACCACATGTGTTGAAATCCCCAATTACTGACCAGGATTCACCGGCCGAAAATCTCAAAGTCGAAAACAGCATCCCACCTGTAACTTATTTGACGTGGCCCCTGTGGGCTGTCTGTGGACAGTGCTTTAAAAGGTCATATTTCCATCCATGAAATGATCATTTGTGGACAAAGCTACTGCACAGGACTCGGTGGACACAGCGCAACACACTGGTGTAAATTACGACCATTAATTGTGCATAATTTGCATAAAATCATGCTGTCCACAGACAGCCTACAGGGACCCTGTCTAATAAGTGACAGGTGGGATGCTGTTTCTAACTTTGACATTTTCAGCCGGTGAATCCTGGTCAGGAATTGGGCATTTCACCGTATGTGTTGAAATGCCCAATTCCTGACCAGGATTCACCGGCCGAAAATCTCAAAGTCGAAAACTGCATCCCACCTGTAACTTATTTGACAGGGTCCCTGTAAGCTGTCCGTGGACATGTCATTTTAAGGCTAGTTATGCATTGTCATGAAATGCTAAGTACCCCAACATGTTGCATTGTCTGCCCTGTCCACTGTGCTGCAAGTTTTTAGTAATAAACCACTAACAATCATGAATTATGACCTAATAATGCATTGACCACAAACAGCCTAAAGCGGTCCCATCAAATAAGTTGCAGGTGGGATGCTGTCCCACCTGCAACTTATCTGATGTCCCTGAGGTCCCGTCAAATAAGTTGCGGGTGGGACTCTTTTGTGCCCACCTGTAACTTATTTGACAGCGTCCCTATAGGCTGTTTGGGGACACTGTCAGTAGACATAGGTGTTATAACAAACTAATTACACAGGGTTTGATTACACGAACAGATCAATTAACACTTTGACCAGTTTAAACCATTTTAATTAAGCGCCTAAATAAATTTGAATTATCTAAACAATACTTGGAAAAAAAGGACAGACAAGAAGTTAAAATTCCAAACAACAAAAACTACTTTATTTTGAACAAATATACAGGAAAAAAGTGAAATTTAAATGAAAATGGTGATGGGTAAAAAAAACAAAGGAACAACTCAAAGTCTTTAAAAAATCGAACACTTGAACTTTTTTTTTTTTTTTTTTAACAAAAGTCTCTTGCGGAACAAACACTTTCTAAAAAAACACACTTTAACTCACTTGAACACTTGAACAGTTTAAAATTAGAAGAATAAAAATCTCTCGCGGAACAAACACTCACGAACACTCGGAAAAAACGCGACCATGAACACGAACTCGACGTCTAAAAAACGTCAACTCAGTTTCAACGTCTATTTGCGCTGCCTGCGCTTCTTAATGGCCTCCTTGACCTTCTTGGAGACCTCCTTTTGGCGTGTCAGGCCGACGAGGGTCGTGGAGGTGGGGGAAAAGATGGCCTTCTTGACTTTCAGCGGGGACACGTGCCTCTGAGTCGACGCCAAACATTTCAGGGGAGTCAGGAGCACCGTAGCTTTCCCTCTCCGCCGCGGGTACTTTTTTGGGGTGGTCGTCTCCTCCTCCTCGTCTTGGGATCCCACCGCCTCTGCGCCTGACTCGGCCTTCTCCTCCTCCTCATCCTGCTGCTCCTCGTGCTGCGCAAAGTAGGAAAAACACGCACACACACACACAAAGACATGATAAGTCATCGGTTGTGATGTCGCAAGAGGGATGTTGTAACTCTGCAGTCAAAGGAAAAAGTCAACTCACCCCACTGGACTCGGGGCTGGACGTCCCAGACTCCTGGTACTCCGGGCTCTTGGTCGCCTCTGGAGTCGTGCTGCCCGAAGTCATCTCCTTGTCCGAGGACTCTGGAGCGCTCCTCTTCTTCTTGAGGGGCTCCTTCCCCTTCGCGGGCCACTTGTGTTTGATTGAAGTCGGCTGCTTTGACGGGGAGCCCCTCTCTTCGCCCTCCAGGGCAGTGTCGAAGAGCCTTCGGTGCTCCATGGCCTGCTGGGGGGTCAAGTTGGCAACGTGAAATTTGTCCGCCGTCCTGGTGTCGTTGCACATGAACTTGGACAGCTTGACCCGGTCGTCGTTGGTGTGGGTGAATTTTATCTGGGAGGACAGAGACAGAGAAGAGTAAAAACCAATGCCGCCACCGGCGGAGGACCTCCGAAATGCATGCCAGAAGCGGCGACGGATGCTTACGTGGCTGGCGATGGACGTGCGGACGTCAGTGAAGGTGGGGCACCCGGGAAGGCCCATGGACTTCCAGGCCTCTTGGAAGTAGGAATTGAGATTTTTGCATGGGTTTGGGGTCGAAGTGAAAAACAGGAACTTGGCGGAGGGTCCGCCGGGCAGCTGATCTTTGACTCGGAGAGTCGATTGACCCAACTGAACTCCTCCTCCGTCAAAACGATCTGGGCCGACCCGAAAGCCATGTTCGTCTTGTGGTTGGCGACCTGTGGACACACGAGGGGAAGAAATAAACATAAACAGATAAATCAATCAATAAACAAATCAATTAAAAAAAAAATCCACACAAAAACACATCGGGCAAAGAAGAGTCGGACGCTCACGTTTATCAGGTACGCCTTCTCCGAGGTCGATTTGCGGGCCCCCAGAACCTCCTGCATAGTTATGTTTTGGAGAACCCCCCCTCTGTGGCCGTACACGCAGGCGAGCAGCGCCGCAAAGTACTCGTAAAACCTCCACAGGGTCTTCTGGGTGGGCTCGTTCTCCAGGAGGGCTAAAGACGAGAGAATGGCAAAAAGTTCAAAGGTCCGTCGGCCGGCGGGTGAGAGCGCGGGGAGGAGACGAAAGACCACTCACTCAAAAGGTCCGGGATGGCCTTGGCGGCGAGTTCCCTGCACTTGCGGAGGGTGGGCTTTCGGATGATGTTGACCTCCTTGACCTGCGTCTGGTGGACGGCCACACCCCTCTTCAGAGACTTGTGGAGCGCCCCCATCTCCCTGCGGAGGCTGACCAGGGCTTTTTTGGTCAAGCGGCAGGACTGCGGAGGGGTCTCCGACAGGAAAAAGTCGAAGTGAAAAACAGGAACTTAGCGGAGGGTCCGCCGGGCAGCTGATCTTTGACTCGGAGGAGTCGATTGACCCAACTGAACTCCTCCGTCAAAACGATCTGGGCCGACCCGAAAGCCATGTTCGTCTTGTGGTTGGCGACCTGTGGACACACGAGGGGAAGAAATAAAAATAAACAGATAAATCAATCAATAAACAAATCAATAAAAAAAAAAATCCACACAAAAACACATCGGGCAAAGAAGAGTCGGACGCTCACGTTTATCAGGTACGCCTTCTCCGAGGTCGATTTGCGGGCCCCCAGAACCTCCTGCATAGTTATGTTTTGGATAGGGATGTCCCGATACCACTTTTTCACTTCCGATACCGATACCGATGCCGCACCTTTGGCTTTTGCCGATACCGATATTAGTCCGATATTTTTTTTTAAGGTTTAACAGTATTTTCAACTGTAAAATGTATACAGTGTTTACCATTTTGAGGCCAATAAGATTAAGCCAAGCATTCCAGGTGTCACACATTAGCTTTTGTCTTTATGCGCTTCCTGGCCATTAAGTTCAAGATTCAGCTTTGCTTTTGTAATGGTAAAAGTGTGACCACGCTGGTCAGACTGATTAGATTAGCGTCTCTGGTAATCTGCTGAATCATTTACATTTGCTTTGTTTCAAGAGACTCCTCCTCAATTTAACTCCTCCAGATTAGCATGTCAAGGCACATAAAACTGCTATGCTGATGAACTGAGATGCCTGTTGAATCATTTACATTGCTTTGTTTCAGTTCCCTCCCCCCCTCAATGTAAACTCCTCCCCTCTAAATGTATAAATTGTAAGGGAATGTTTTCCCTTAGTTAGACTTACTTTGAGATGACTACAGTGACGCAATAAAGAACTTCTGCGTGAAAGATACCTCAAGAGTCTCCTGGTCTGTTGCGTGGAAGAAGAAAAACTTCACTACATGATCTTTTGTGTTTATAAAGTATACAGTTGTTTTTTTTAAGAAAAGGACCAATAGTTTCTCTAGATAAGACCCTTATTCCTCATCTGGTATCATTTACAGCCCTTTGAAGCAGCACTGAAACTATAATTTTGACCTTCAGCCGTTTGGGTCCCATTGAAATCCACTATAAGGAGGAAAATCCTAGAATGTGTTCATCAAAAACCTTAATTTCTTTTCGACTGAAGAAAGAAAGACCTGAATATCTTGGATGACATGGGGGTGAGTAAAATATCAGGAAAATTTCATTCAGAAGCGATTTAATCCTTTAAGGCGAGACACTACAGGTGAATAGGGTAAAATTTTAAACTAGCAGATATCACCATGAAACTTTCCTAGTTGATTACCTACATTAAGATGAGAAAAAAATGTATTACAAGTTTTCTGTAATTTAATGTTTAAATATGCAAATGAGGCATTATCTGATTAAATATGCACTAATTTGCATATCTTTAAAACAACGAAATATGACTATTGGATAAAGCCAGGTTCAATTTTTTTTCTTCATTGTGTTCATATAATAGATGGGAAAAAAATTACAGAAGGATTTATGGATATCTACTTTTGATATCCTGTAAATCAGAATATACCATCAATAGTCTTAAAAAAATGATTTTTCGCCATGTTTTTTGGGATAAAATGTTACATAAATCAGGCTAGGAATAATATATTTACAAATCCCTCTGTAAATGTCTTCATAATATAACTAGGTACAAGACTGGAAAGTTTGGTGTATATAGGTGCTACTGAAGTGGAGATTTCAGACTTTGAGTATGAGAAAAAAGTCATTTTGAGAAAACGGGCTTTAAAAATGTATATTCTAAAATTCCACACATTTCTACATGAAAACATTGCTAACAAGCAAAATAACTGGCCAAGTTATTGTTTATAACAATTTACATGAAAAATGACAACTGAATAAAACAACATTGCCAAATAAGACCTTCAACTACACTGTAAAAAATATGTGCCAAATAAATACCGTAAAAATAAAGTAAAATATCCTAATTTAAATTAAGTTGTTTTACAGAAAAACACTGTTATTTTACAGCTATTATCTGGATTATTACGATCAAACACTCTAACTGTAAAAACAATGCATTATTATGATCAAATACCTTCATAGTAAAAAACAGTCAATGACTGTCAGCAATGGCTGCCATTCAAAAAACATAAAATGAATGTAAAATAGCCTAATTTAAATAAGTGCAAAAGTAAACACAGTTATTTCACATATTTCCTAATTGTTTTATGAAGAAACATATAGGTGATGTATGATTTACTGTCACTATACATCACTGCATCAGCAACTACACAGTTACTGTCAGTTAAATAAAGGAACATGCATTAGTTTTATTCTGCTCATCTTGAACTGAAGCACAAGCTCTACTCTTCAACACAATGGTGACCCACAAAACACACCATACAGAAACAATCCAGACTTTATTTATTGCATACTAACATTCTTACTGAAACAGATGTTTAGAAGTTGATTTTTTATGTGAAATAATAAATGTTGATGTCACCATGATGGAGATCAGTGTTTGCTTTAGTGGGGCTCTTGACCCTTTGCTTTTAACATTACTATTTCTCTGGCTGCTTTAACTGAGTGTCATAATTGATACATATTTGTTATGGTAGGAGTCCAAGAGAATCTCAGTTCAAAAGATCTGATCACTTATTAATGGTAATGGTTTTCAAGTAATTGAATGCTTAGTGATATCACCTGATTTTTAATGCACTATGCCTCAGCTTGTCAGCTAGCTACGGCTCTTCGTCACAGCAAAATCTCAGTCAGTGTTAATTTAACACTCCTGGGATACAGGAGTACACACTCAAGAGTGTTAAAGTTAATGAGATAATTAAGTGATTAATTGAGTGATGATTGAGCATCATTGAAGACACCTAAAGCAGAATCACAAGGAGAAAATCTAAAATTGTAAGCCACCGTTATGGAGATGAGTGTTTGCTTTAGTTGGGCTCTTGACCCTTATTTTATAAACTTTATATTTTAATTGGCTGTTGGATCTGAGTAATACCTGCCAGATGAACAAAGAAAAAAATATTATCTAATAATTTTTGTTATATTATGACAATCATTATTTGAACTTAATGTTTGTGACTTATGTTGTTGGTTACATTATAACTGTGATTCTGTATAAATACCCAGAGTTTGAGATATAATATAATGGATTTATTAAAAGTTGTACAAAAAAAGAAAGTCTTTCTTTTATGCACACACAGATATCAAGATTCAGTCAATGCTTCTCATCAATGGTGGCGAGCAGAATATTCAATTAGGAAAAGTAAATTACATAGACAATTCAGATCATAATTTATTCATACCGCAATGCATGAGCCATTAATGAGTTGTGATTGGTGGCAGCAATGATTATTATTGTCACCACGGTTGAGATACACAGGCTGATTATTGATGTCTGCGTTTCTAAATAAAGATAAAGGGATTTGATCAGAACAATTTTTATTACATGTTTTGAATTATAAGAAAAATACAGATTATCATATGCTGCAGAACCACTAAACTGTGGCTAACAAGTTTAACCGAATCATCTGAATAGGTTTCATTTAGATCACAGTATGATTATGTCAAAACATAACCAACCCTGTCAGATCCCACTTTTCTTTGTTCATTTGACTGTTATAAATCAATAACAGCAGACAAACAAACTTTAAAGTGAAAGTATAAGTGTCGAGAGCCCAACTAAAGCAAACACTGATCGCCATAACGGTGGCTTACAATTTGAGATTTTCCCCTTCAGTGATTCTGCTTGTTATCACCAGGTGTCTTCAATGCTCAATCATCACTAAATTAACCACTTAATTAATATTGTTTCAATATAACAAGGTTCATGGGGAAAAATACGACAATCCTAGATTTAATCTAAAACTTAAGTACACCTATGTAATCACAACAGATACACTCGGATATTTCAGTGAATCAGGTCACCATATGATGACTATAACATCACCAATAACTGACCAACATCAGCTGATATTTTCTCCCGCTTTCAATGCTATAACAAATTTATGTTGAAAAACATAATTAAAACAGCCAGGGTAAAACTAATAGCATATAATAAAGGTCAAGAGGTCAACTAAAGCAAACACTGATCTCAATCATGGTGATGTCAAGTTTTTATTTAAATTAACATATTTTTACTGTAATTTTATGGTTTTTGTTTGGCACCCTGTGCTGCCAGTCAATTGACCCTTTTTTAACGATTTTTTTACAATGACGGTATTTGATCATAATAATGCAGGAAATACCTGTAAATAATAGTGTTTTTCAGTTTATTTAATTTATGACGTTTTACTTTAATGTTACAGTTTTTTGAGCTACAGTCATGTAATCATTTAACTGTTTTGTTACCATTTAATTACAGATTCTATTTGTACTTTTACATAAATGTTTATGTAATTTAAGAAAACAGAAAAATACTGTATGAAAAATACAATCAATTTCTGTAAAAAAAAAGTGAATGACTGGAATTTTTTCTTTAATGTCACAATACCTAAAATATCAGCTGCATTTTTATTTTCCAGATATTATTTGTAATTTTGCAGTGTTTTGAGTACAATTTAAAATGAAAGAAAATGGTCGTCAAGAATCACAGTTATTTTCTGTGAAATTAGGATTTTTTTTACATTGTAACCACTGAGAACCACGGATAAAGACACAAACTTATCAGAACTGCAACTCTCTTTTATGTCCATCGGAACACAAAGTTCACCCATGAGGGTTGAAAGCCTAGCTCTCCATGCCTGCACCATATGTAGGCCCCCTCACCCCTCTCTTGCTGATGCCTTTTCAGCTTTTTAGCTGTGCTCAGAGTCTTTCTGCAACGTTTTGCACGCTCAGACTGGATGGATTCGGCTTTTGTGATCCTCAGCATGTCGGTTTCCCTGATGGTGCTGACGGTAACGACAGTGCTTTCCAGCCAAAGCTTATCCATAATGGCAAGCATGGTAGAGGCCCCCTCATTAAAAGTTGAAATGGCCATACTTGCTGCTGCCTCAACCCTACTCTTACCCACTAGGGCTGTCGCGGTTAAGAAATTTTCCTTGCGGTTATTATGGGTGGCTCAATAGCGCGATATGCGGTATTACCGCCGTTTTTTTTTTTGTTTGTTTTTTACAAAACATAATTTATCCTGATTTTAGGCTACTGCATGCAAAACTCTATTGTTGTTGTTTAGTATCATATATAATGTTGCTTTAACTGACAGAGAGACACGTCTTAGAACATTTTTGTTTATTGTTAAATGCCAAACAGCAACAAGAACATGCATTTTCCAATTTAAAAAAAAATAAAGAAATCAAAGTGATCTAAAGTATCACATGAAAACAATAAGAAAATGCCTTTTTCTAATTTAAAAAAACGAAATAATTCTTAAAGTAGCTATCACATGAAAACAATGTGCCAAAGTAAAAATACAGAGATTAAACTTCGTTAACGAATGATATTTAGACCTGGGTTATGTCCTTGTTTCGCGCTAGGAAAACCAACATATTAACCTTATGAGGTTTCAGGGAGGATCGCATGGGAGTAACAATATTCCCCGCGGCACTGAAAACTCTTTCTGACGGAGTGCTTGTTGCACAAATACACATGTATTTGCGCGCGACTTTGGACAGCAGCGGATATCTAGACTAATTATCGCGCCACCAGGACAGTGGGTTTGCGTTGGAGTCGATGCACTCCTCATTTAGATCATTTAGATACTCCTCACTCCTCCTTCATCGCGCTCTCTTGGGTATGGGCGCTGACGCGGATGTTGTCCGTGACTTCAGCAGGTCTCCAAGAGTCTTTTTCTTTGCTACAGGTGGCACCATCGCTTGCCCTTCGTCTCCAACCTCTGGCGCAGGTGCACGGACAGCGGTCTCTTCGTCCGCCACTCCCACCATCTCTTCGAAGAGTGCGGATTTTGTCTCCGTGTCATTAATATGATCACCTCTATATCGAGGATCTAAACAACACGCCTTTGCCAAAAGATTTTGTAAGGCAGCTGGTTCATACTTCCCATGTAGAACACTACACATTTTGTTCTTTATGTCCGATGTTAAGGTGGTATCCTCGGAGGATGGTTTAAGCATTTCTTCTGTCAGGAGTTTCAGGACGGGCTTGACTGAAGACACTGTAACGTAACTCTCGCCAGACAGCAGATCCGTAAACTCAGCTGCGGGTTTTAGTGCTGCGTTCACGGACTCAAGGACAGCGATGTCCTGCCAGCTTGGATTTAGATGTTGATGTCTCCGGTCATCCAGAACTCTTCTGATAGCCGGGATTTGCTCTAAAACTCTTTCCACCATTTTCTGTTTGGTGCCCCATCTCGTAGCGCAGTCCTGAACAGAATGTTGGCCGTTAAATCATTGAAATTAGACAAGGACATCGTCTAACTAGCATTACAAAAATAAATTAGACTAGGCTACATTTAAATGTAAACTATTCATTCGTTTCAATAGGCTATTTTTACTAAACAAAAAATAGCCTACATTTAAAATATCCCCACTGCAAAATGTTAATTTTAATATAAAATGTCTATGCACATTCATATGGATGTAAACTGAAAGTTAACCTAATGTTTTTTTTCTTCAATATATCTTACCTTTTAAAATAATTTTCGTTTCAAAATATTTATTTTAAACGAAAAATACATTAAATCCAGAAACTTGTTTAATTTGTATAATAAAATTGTATTTATTGGCTAATAACATGACCAATAAGTTAGCAAATAGTTTAAAGAATAACTTACCAGTATGAGGCCATGCTGAGGAATTTTAAGTTCAGCTTGTGCTTTTGCTACGTCTCTTCTCTTTAACCAGCTTTGAGAAAATGTACTAACCAGTGTGTGACACAGGCCCATTGCTCGGGCTGTGCGGTCTTTGACGCTTGCCATTGCGTTTGTAACTGCCAAATGTAAATTGTGCCCAAAGCAGTTCAGCCAAGGCCAGTTCAACTTTTTGACTGCTGCAACAATGTTGGCCCCATTGTCTGTAGTGATACAGGCCAGCTTTTTCTCATCCAGGGACCATTCTTCAAATGTGTGCCGGAGAGCATCTGAAATATTGTCGGACGTGTGGTTTTCGGGCATGAACACTGTTTCGAGGTAACGTGATTTCAGAACCCATTCTGTGCTGAGATAATGAACCGTTAGACTCATATAAGGAGTCATATTGACACTTGACCACATATCGGTTGTGGCAGAAAAGTAGTCAATATTCATCAGCTCGCTTTTGATCGATGTCTTTACCGTGCTGTACATTTTTGGAACAGCAGTTTCTGAAAAGTAGGTTTTGCCCGGCAACTCGTACTGCTTGTCGAATTTTTGAAGCATTGACTTGAATGCAGGTTTCTCCACCGTGTTGAATGGAACCATCTCCTGAACTAAATACTGGGTAACAGCATCTGTAAGGCATTTATGCCTGTTACTTTCACGGCTGTATTTTACAGATTTCCCAAAGGCTTCAGCTACTCCTAACTGTCGGCTGCTGGTACCGGTCTCGGTTGTTCTTTTTGAAGTTGCTCCGCGACCTGATACTTGAGGGGGCAGCTGTGCATTAATGGATGGATGACAGTTAGCGAGATGACACCTCAAATTAGATGTATTGCCGCGTGTCACAGGAACCTTTTTGCCGCAGATTTTGCATATTGGCTCATCTAAATTCGCTGGCTCGCCCTTTTCATTGGGTAGAAAGCCGAAATGTTCCCAAACCGGCGACGTGACATTAGGTTTTGCGACGAGAGTGACTGCCATCGTTTCAGTGGGGCTATTCAAAATAAACAAAACACCAGACAGAGCTGCAATGGTTCGCGGGAAAATGACGTAACTCTTGCATAATTATTAATTTATTTAACATTGAATGCACAGTGACAAATTGTAAAAGAAGAAGGCCACCCTTATGAAACAAAAATAAAATAAAAAATTAACACTGCGGTTGCCGCGGTTTCTGCGGTTGCTTTCCTTCCTCTGCGGTTGGCTGGTCAATAGCGCGGTATTACAATATTGCGGTTCTCGCGACAGCCCTATTACCCACAAACACTGTTCTCTTACGAGAGGTTCTCTCGTATTGCGTAAGCTAGCTTACGCTACGGGAAAGATTCATCTTTGCTGAGAAGTTGAAGCCAAAAAATTATTCCATAATTTTGTAATCATTGTCAACGCAGTCTCTTCTGAGGCAGACCATGAGCGGGCTAGCTAGCGGCTCATTGGTTCGCTCAGAGAGAATGCACGAACCTATGGGAGAGCGGCGCTGAGTCCGCGGCCAATGAGCGGACGGCGCTCGCTTACTGCGTCACAGCCCGCCAAAAGGGGCGTGGCTACAGTGTATAAAGGTCGCTCTCCCAGCTCGTTCGTTGATTCTTGTTCATTCAGCGAGCTACACGCATCCGCTGTCCTGGGAAGAAGCCGCCGTCGTTGAGAAGGCACCGTCTAGCGAGCTCCGGAGTCTGAGGAAGCCGGCCGTCTGCCACCTTCAGCCGCCCAGCAAGCTAGCGCCATCCGACGCGTATCCTTTTTACTATTCCATATTCCTAAAAGAGCCGAGCGTCTTTTTCAAGATGCCTCGAATTTCCTGCGGCTCATGCCGCTCTTCACTCGAGGAAGGAGACCGCTTCTGCGTTCTCTGTTTCGGAGTGGAACACGCAGAGCTCGCCCTCGCCAACGGAGGATGCGACCACTGCGAGGACCTGCCTCCGTCTTCCCTGCGGGCTCGACTACAGGCAGTCAGAACCGCTCCCGCGCCGCCTCTCACTTCGCCGCGGAAGAAGAAACGCCGCTCCCAGAGGCCGCCGGAGCCCCCTGCGGATCCATGTGGGCCGCCGCCGCCGCCCACCGACCGCTCTCCCTCTCCGCACCTGCCGGACTTACAGTTGCCGCCGTATGGCCGCTCTGTCGCCTCCGACGACACCGCGGATGAGAAGGACTCTTGTTCGCTGCACCCTTCTGACAGCGAGGATTGGTCGTCGATCGGCTCATCGACGAGAGAGTCTGCGGGGACCCGCGCCGGCATCGAGGAGGATCTATCGCGCCTCCCTTCGCAGGCCTTCAACCGCCTGGGTCTCGAGTGGTCTCCTCCCCCCGAGCAACCACCGAACCGGCGCTCGACCCCCGCCTGCAGCCGGGCTGCACCATTCCTGCCTGAGCTTCACTACGAGCTCACTAAATCCTGGAATGCCCCTCTTTCGGCTCGTATCCGCTCCGAGGGGTCCGCTTCGCTCAGTGGACGGAGCCGCCGAGATGGGTTATACTGCCATGCTGCCCGCGCCTTTGCCGCCGCCGAACAGGCCGCCTCAGCGCTGCATTCCATCCAGGCGCTCCAGAGCGACATCTTGTGCGAGATGGCGAACAGCGGTAGGAACCCGCCCATCCTTTCGGATCTGAGAAGCGCGACGGATCTTTCCCTTCGCGCCACTAAAGCCGCCGCACAAGCCCTGGGAAAATGCATGGCCGCCCTCGTTGTCACTGAGAGACACTTGTGGCTCACGCTCACCGATATGGGAGATTCAGAACGCGCCCTGTTCCTCAACGCGCCTATTTCTCCCACCGGGCTCTTCGGATCTGCCGTCACGGGCATCGTTGACCGCTTCTCCGAGGTTCAGAAAGCGACTCAGTCCATGAATCTGTTCTTGCCCCGCCGCTCTAGTTCTTCGACAGGCCGCTCTCACGAGCCTCCTGCCAGAACCCCACAGCAGCGCCCGCCTCAGCAAGCTCAGCAGCCCCAGCGTAGACAGGGCGGCCGCCCTCGCTCTCGCTCAGATAGCCGCCGCAGACAGCCTCCTCCCAGGGGGCCTCGACCCAAGATCGCGCTGAAGCCCGATCAACAGAAGTCTGCCTAGCACAGCTGAGAAAAGGACGGCTTCTCCCGCTGCGGCCGGATCGCCGTAAAAGCCTCGCCCACTGTTAGTCCCCGTCTCACCGCTGACTGCAGTAGTGTTTACCGCCACAAACAAGCCGGTTTCCCTGCCCGCTTGCGAGCGTCTAAAAGCCGTTTTCACGGCTATCCAGAGAGTTCACAAAAGAGCATAAAAGCCTCAAGTGTAATAAATGTGCCCACAAGCATGTGCTCACGTACACACTCAAGCACCTTATGCCCAGGGTCTCTCACAGAGCCCATTCTCACGGAGCGTGCACTATCCGCTCCAGTAGCAGAGAACATAAGCACGCCCACGAGCCCGTGCGCGTGTCCCCCCTCTGCCCGCTCTGTCACACGGCCCATAAAACTCCTCTCTGAGTGTAAGTCCCGTTGCCACCCACATTATGAGCGTGCCCACACACAGTGTCCAGCCCGCGATGTGCAGCTATCAGGGCAAAATCGCCATTCAACCGCTTACGAAGCGGGGGAAGCCATCCCCGGCATCTCCCCGTGGGTTTAAGCATAATAAAGAATGGTTATCGATTACAGTTTCGTCGCCGCCCGCCACGCTCGCGCGTGCGGCTCGAATCCACTGTCAGCCGCCCGCTATGAACACGCTTCGCTTAGAAATAGCCAAGCTACTGCAGAAGGGCGCTATAGAGAGAGTCCCACCATCTATGACCGAGTCGGGGTTTTACGGCCGTTATTTTCTGGTTCCCAAGAAATACGGCGGCCTCAGGCCGATCTTAGATCTCAGGGCTTTGAACAAAGCGCTCATGAAGAGACCGTTCAAAATGCTCACAGTCAGGAAACTCCTCGCGCACGTCCGCCAGGGGGACTGGTTCATCTCTCTAGACCTGAAAGACGCCTATTTTCAGATCCAGATAAACCCTCATCACAGGCCATTCCTACGTTTCGCCTTCGAGGGCCAAGTTTACCAGTATGCCGTTCTCCCGTTCGGCCTATCCTTAGCACCCCGTACGTTCACGAAGTGCATGGATACAGCGCTCGCCCCCCTGCGAAGTCAGGGGCTGCGCATACTGAATTATCTGGACGACTGGCTGATTCTAGCAGATTCCCAGACGGAGCTGCTGTCGCACCGCACAGTTCTCCTCAACCATCTGGAAGCGCTGGGACTCTCTGTCAACTGGACAAAGAGCTCTCTCCAGCCCAGTCAAACTATTTCGTTCCTCGGAATAGATTTGAACTCTATCACGATGACGGCTCGCTTATCCACACAGCGCGCGCGCCGTGTTCAGCGCCTAGCCGCCTCGTTTCAGATGGGTACCCTTACATCCCTGAAATCGCTTCAGAGGATGCTGGGTCATATGGCTTCAGCCTCCGCTGCGCTACAGCTGGGTCTCCTGCACATGCGCCCCCTTCAATTCTGGTTAAAGAGCCGCGTATCCCACCACGAGTGGACGACGGGCCGCCAGATGATCAGGATTACTCAGACTTGTATCACTGCACTGCAGCCATGGGCAGCAAGCGAGTGGTTTCAGAGGGGCGTTACCATGGGAACATTCTCTCGCCGGAAAGTCATCTCGACAGACGCATCCAACTCGGGTTGGGGAGCGGTTTGCGAGGGCTCACCGGCCGCCGGCCAGTGGTCGAGCCACGAGAGTTCCTTACACATAAACTGTCTGGGAATGATCGCGGTCGAGAACGCGCTGCTGTGCTTCCTCCCGCGCATAAACGGTCACCACGTCCTGATTCGCTCCGACAATATGGCCGTGGTATCATACATCAACCGTCAGGGCGGCGTCAGATCCAAGAATCTCTTTCATCTGACACGCCGCATCCTATTGTGGTCCCAGAGTCACCTGCTTTCGCTCAGAGCGACGCACGTGCCGGGCCATCTGAACGACGGTCCAGACAGGCTGTCCAGGAACCTGGTCTCCCCCGGAGAATGGTCCCTGCACACTCAAACAGTCCAAACACTGTGGCGCCTATTCGGCAGAGCGGAGATAGATCTTTTCGCGTCAGAAGAGAACGCTCACTAACGTTACCCAATATTCTTTTCTAAGAGCGAGGACGCGCTAGCCCAGGATTGGCCCCGCCGCCCGCTCTATGCTTTTCCCCCGATTTCTCTGCTACCGCAGGTCATTCAGAGAATCAGGGACTCACGCCACTCGGTGCTCCTCATAGCCCCGCGCTGGGAGAATCAGATTTGGTTCCCGGAGCTAACGCGGCTGTCACAGACAGCCCCGTGGCCCATTCCAATCAGAGCAGATCTCCTCACTCAAGCCCGCGGCTCGATCTGGCATCCCCATCCACAGCGCTGGGCGCTTCATGCATGGGTGACCAACGACTACGCGTCGAATTGCCAGAAGGGGTTTTGAACACGATCAAACACGCCAGAGCGGATTCTACCAGAAAGCTCTATGCTGCAAAATGGTCTGTGTTCTCCAAATGGTGCACCGACAAGAATTTGGACCCACGGACGTGCGAGGTTTCGTCTTTGCTAGTGTTCCTTCAGGAGATGCTGGATAAGGGCAGGTCCCCATCCACTCTTAAGGTTTACGTGGCAGCCGTCGCGGCGTTCGCTGAACCCCGGCGCGCCCAGTCTCTGGGCAAAGACGAGCTTATCATCCGCTTCCTCAGGGGAGCCAGAAGGATGAACCCCCCTCGCCCCCTACGGTGCCGGTCTGGGATCTTTCTATAGTTCTAGAAGCTCTGAAAGCCCCACCGTTTGAACCACTTGAGTCCGTGGAGCTAAAATACCTCTCGTTAAAAACCGTTCTTCTGACGGCTCTCGCCTCAGTAAAACGTGTGGGGGACATTCACGCGCTGTCTTCGAGCGCCGCGTGCCTAGAGTTTGGACCGAGTGACTCCATAGTCATTCTAAAGCCTAGACACGGTTATGTTCCAAAAGCGATTGGTACCCCTTTCAGGGCGCAAG